TTAGCTGTAGCTCACTAAAGCTAAATAGTTCAAACGTTGATCTTGGTAACCTATCGCTACTAAGTGCATGCCCTGATACAGCTCAAAACAACAAGGATCTCATCCTTGGAGCTTCTGGGACCGCTGCGCCCAGCCTGGAGCCAGGAGAAACGTCGACTGCGGTGTGTAGTAGCAAAGTCGACTGGGGTGAACACGATCCAGGGCCTAACGACGTTCCTACTCAAGCCGGAACCCCCACCGCCGACGCCGACACTGAATTCCATGATTCGGATGTAAACCCGATCACTGACCCTGAGCAGCTGCTGGAGGCCGACCTATATCTCGGTCATGCACGCCATGGTTGCAGAAGGGTCTGTCGAGGGTGAGGACACATCGAACGACGTTTCGGAGCACGTAGCAAACGAGATTGAGCTAACCGACTACGCACAAGAGCTAGCGTTCTTGCCAGACCTAACTGAAGCGTCGGAGACGACATTGGATTACTCTGGGCAGAACGTCCAGAATGACGAGCTCAGTGAGAAGCAGCAGACGGACCTGGTCGATGTGCTGAAGATCCACGAGAAAATCATGATTGCGAGCGGCAACGCTCTACCGCCTCCAGCCTATGGTGTTGTATGTGACATCAATGTACAGGGGCACGCGCCGATCAAGCAGAAGACTCGGCGGACCCCGCTTCGCTTCCTCGGTAAGCTGTACGAATTGCTGAAGGGTCTGCTGAAGGCCGGGCTTATCTCCTTCTCGGACAGCCCATGGGCGTCGCCAATCGTCATCGTCCTGAAGAAGAATGGAGTGGATATCCGCCTGTGTATCGACTACAAACTCGTTAATGCGATCACCAAGATTATGGAGTACGCCATGCCCCTGGTGGATGACTTGCTGACGGACATGGAGGCGTACTTATGGTTTTGCTCGCTCGACGCTGCTAGCGGCTTCTAGGCCATTATGATGACTGAACGAGCTCGGAATATCTCCGCTTTCGTCTGCGCACTGGGGCACTTCGAGTGGTTGCGTATGCCTTTCGGCCTGAAAAACGCACCGATCTATCAACGCATGATTGACATCGCGCTTTGGGGCTTCGTCCAACCGAAGGGAGGATGGTTTAAATTCTCGGAGTGCATGCGCCTAGCTGAAGAACATGACAAGGAAGCTCATGCTGGGGTGAACGAGGCTTCGACTGGCACGGCAAAGCCATTCCGGGCCAAGTTCGAGGCTGACCGAGATAACTCGCTTGGTAAGGGAGCTGTAGCCGAACTGGTCAACAGCCCTATCGCCGACATGTTCGCCAACGGGGAGCCCGATGACTCCTCGTTGACACCAGTATTCAGTCGCCGGTCATTCGTGGATGATATCTTTTTCGGCGCCGAGACTTTCGAGTCATGCTTGGCGACGCTAGACCGATTGCTGGCACGGATTGAAGAGTGCCGTATTAGTATCAGCTTCACGAAGAGCATCTTCGTGCAGTCCAATGTGGACTTTCTGTCTCACGAAGTCTCGGCAAAAGATATCCGACCAGACGCTAAGAAGCTGGCTGGGGTGACCGAGCTTCCGTTCCCGTCAACGAAGAAAGGAATGCAGTCCTTCCTTGGGGCACTCAACTATTACAGTCGCTTCATCCAAGACTTCGCGGTCTATGAAGCAGCGCTGTACCAGCTTAAGGACGAGGACTTGCACCCGGGGTGACCTCACCGCGGCCAAGCACAGCTTCGCGATGCTCCAACAGAAGGTTTCGGCAGCGCCGATACTACGACACTTCGACCGAAAGAGGAGAATCCATGTTATGTTGTTCGCCAACGAGTGGGCCCTAAGCTCCACGTTGATGCAAGAGTACGAGGGCAAACTACACCCCGTTCGCTTCTGCGGACGCGTTTTGAAGGACGCTGAGATGAATTATCACCCGGCAGAGAAAGAAGCCCTCGCGCTTCTGCTGATACTGAAGGTGTGTTATACTCAACTCGTTGGACAGCGAATCCGGGTCTATACTCGGTTTTCAACACTCGACTGGGTCCACAAGTCCAAGACATTGTTCGGTCGGGCTACTCAGTTCGCCGTTTTGCTGTCGCCGTGGCATCTGTTGGTCGAACGAGTCAAAGAAACCGACTGCTCGTTTGCCCAACTACTTCAAGCCGACTTGACGAACTTCGTTGATTTGGATAAGTCACTGGCGTTGGTTACACCCCGGACCCGAGGGTCACCGACTGCTCGTTTGGATCCGCATCTGCTCTACGCACGCCTATCTCGGTCGTACCGGGGCTTTGTCATGTCGTTTGACGGGTCTGCGAAGACTGAGAGTTACAGGAGTTGCTCATGGATACTATGGAAGTTACCGAAATGGACAGTAGTGCTCGCTGCGAGCGCTTACCTCGAGAACACCACCGTTAACCTCGCTGAGTATACTGGGATGAACTATGGTGTCTCCGCTGCATTACAGCACGGAGCCGACGATTTAGTCGTCTTGGCGACTCGAGGCTCGCGATCCAGCAAGCCCTAGGGGTGATAGCCTGACGGAAGGAGTCATTGCTGCAGCAACTCAGTCACCACCAAGAACTCACAGCCAAGCTTCGGTCGGTGAAGTACCTACATGTGGTGAGAGAGTTTAACGCTGCGGCCGACTCTCTGGCAAGCGAGGCTCTCGAGAGCAAGAAGTCTACAGTGGTATCGTCGGATGTCCGAGTACTAGAGCTGATGAAGCTGAACCGTATCGCTGAAGTCATCTACGAGGTTGCTGACGGTTGCGTCGTCGAGGACATACCCTCGGCCAACACAGTATGGCTGTGGTAGCTTCTGTCAAACCTCGCAGCAAGAATTTTTCGATTTTGTGCGAAGAAAAACCGACCACAGACGGCAGAACGAGACTGAACCCGGACATGTGGCTGTGATGACCAGACGTCAAACGAGAGCAAAGGAGAAACACGTCCGGTTTGCAGATGAAGCCTCGGTCACCGATCAGGGAGACGCATCTCTCCGAGTAAAAGCCAATGGTGTGCCGAACGAGTCTCAGAATGAAGCAGAAGCTTCACCGCTGCGCGCCGAGACGTCACCAGCCCCACCGAACGCGGAAGACATTGACCCGCTGGTAGTACAGGAAGAACGCCGAAGGAGAATCGCCACCGCTCAAGATGAAGAGTTACGGTTGTCGAATCTGATGGTAGTGCTCCGGGGAGATGATGCGAAGATTGGATACAGAGCAGCACGAGATGCATGGAAAATGGCGGACCAATTTGTGTTGAGCGAGGACGATGTGCAATATTACACTAGAACGAGCCGTCGTTCGAGTGACGACGAGCAAGCCGAGTTGAAGATGAGACTCGTGGTAACCACAACGATGATCCAAGAGGTCTTGCAGAGCTGTCATGACTCACTCGAAGGTGGTCATCAAGGTATCACCCGTACACTGCATCGGGCGAGGAGAGACTATTACTGGATCGGCCAGTATGCCGATGTGGAGAAACACGTTAAGTCGTGCCCTGGCTGCAGTTCAAGTAAGAGCCGACCTCAGTTCCGCGGGTACTCGCCAGGGAACATCCTAGCCGAGAGACCCTTCCAACTTCTCTCTATGGACTTCGTGATACCGCTACTGAAGAGTCGCCGTGGCAACACGGCTCTCCTGCTATTCCAATGCTCGTTCACGGGATTCGTGATGGGCAAAGCCATGTCCGACACTACTGCCTTACTCGTTGCGCAAGCTTTCGAGGAGTGTGTCTACCGACGTTTTGGAGCACCGTCCTTGATCCGTCATGACCGAGATCCTCAATATATGAGCGAGGTCTTCCAAGCCTTCGCGGAAATGATGCAGTCTCGGTCGAGAGCGACCCTGAGATACCGCCCGCAGGCCAACGGCCAACAGGAGAGATTGGTGAAGACGATCATGCAGTCAGTCCGCGTATACGCTGAAGACCCACTACAGCAGGATTGGGACGAGATCACCGAAAGACTGATCTTCGCTATCAATAACTCCCGTGATAAGACGAGGAAGGAAACCCCGTTTTACCTCGTTCAGGGGTGGGATGCACAGTCGACGCTCAAGGCAATGTCCTCGTCACTCAAACGAGGCTTCGGTAGCCAAACTGACGCGCTAGCAGGGCGCCGAGAGGTCAACTGACAGCAGGAAATCGCCCTGAGGATGGCCAAGGAGTACCAAGCCGCGGAAAAGGCTCGGAGAGCTGAAGAGCGCAATGAATCACTTGGCAGGAAGGAGAAGGAAGCTACGACAGGCGTTAACGAGAATAGCACCTCGGTCGACCGAGCACTGAGTTCCCCTGAACATGGCGGAGCTACAGTGACGAGAACGAGGCTTCCTCTGTAGCCTGGAAGCAGAGTGTGGCTGTACATGGGGCGGGTCCGACCAGGACTGACCAAGAAACTAGCCAATCGGTGGCACGGACCGTTCCGAGTGAAGAAGGTCGACGATTTTGCGTATGAGCTGGAATTACCTGACCGAAGTGGATACCGGTTCTACCCGGTGGTGCATGTCTCACGACTCAAGTCGGTGGACGAGTTCGAAGGCCGACCGAGGGCTCGTTTGGCTCGTGAGGTCACCGAAGACACTCGTCTTGACTTCGACGAGGAACTACTGCCTGAACACAGTTTTGAGCCGGACCACTTGGACGGCGAATATGAAGTCGAGGCTATCCTCGATGACCGGACCCCGTTGTCAACGAGTACTCACCGGGCCGTCCGAGAGTTCAAGGTGAAGTGGGTCGGCTATGACGAGCCGACATGGGAACCAGCGTCCAATCTGTCGTGCAGTGGCCTCCTGTACGATTACCTACGCCGGAAGCGAAGCGACCGACGCTTGCAAGTGGTCCAGGTGGCCGACGAGGAGTAATTCTGCGCCCCAAGGAGGATAGAACTGCTCGCGGGGGCAATCCAGCCCGCGATGTCAGACGAACGAGGCTACTGGAGATGATGATTGAACTGCCTGCGAGGGCTATCCAGCTCGCAGTGACAGACGAAGAAAGTTACTGGAATCTGCATGTTACGTGTTAAGTGAACGAGTCACGATGGAATGGAGATATCGGAATGGAGCCAGGGACAACGGAAGACGCAAACAAGCCTCGGTCAAACCCTCAACAGACGAAACAAGTGATAATGAAGCGACTAGGAGGGTGACCGAGGCTTTGGGTGCAGCAGTCGAAGTGGAGCGGTCAGGTGTCAAGATGGAGACGTCAACCACTCTAGCAATGGGGCCCTCAAACGCCTCCGAGAGTGCGTCAAAAGCCTCACTAAGACCGGTCTTATCAGTCAGTAAGACGGGTCTTATGGATCTGTAAGACCGGTCTTACGGATTTGTAAGACCAGTCTTAGTCGATGGACCAAGCCAATCACCTTGGCCTTGGAGTGGGCATGCTACTGAGTGGGAACGCTGCACGAGGTGTAAGCGACGGCGAGAAGAGGTGAAACACGTGCTGGTGAAGCTAGTGGTAGGTCGACCGAGGCTTCGGACGCAATAGCCAAGAAGGAACGAGGCCGGGCATGCACGCTCAAGCCCGTGACTAAGTATGGAGCTGATGATGGAGTGGCCCGTGAGTGGTGGAGTGCAACGGCTGCGAACCAAGCCTCGCTCGAGGCAGCCACAGCGGTCGAGGGCTGAGAAGAAGCTCTGGGAACCGCGACCGAGTATTGAATGCGATGTACGTTGACGCGAGAAAAGATTATGAAGTGGAACGAGCAAAACGACATTTATTCTGATTAAGATGATGTTGAGGCGAGGCGGGTGAACGTCTTTATCGTCCAGGGTGTATAGCGCACTATGCCGGACCGAATGAATTCGGGTTCGGAGTACCAGAGATTGTCCACGCGATAAACAGCCTACGGGACACTGAATGACCCGGGCCTGGAACCGCTTGGACGCACCGAATCGCACTAATGCGGTCTGGTGTTTGGCGTGTGTCCTTGTGTCAAGCCCTATAGGTATCGTTTACCTTTGGCGGACCGGATTTCACCGAGTTGAGTTGTTGCGATACAGAATAACGTCTGCTGGGTGTGTTCCTGGGATGAACCACACCGAATGAACAGAAGGTCAGACCGAATGAAAGGGACCACAGTCAGATCCGTAATTCCGAATAACCAACACACAGAAATACAATGCCGAGATAAACGTCACAAAATATACAGCCACCACTTATTCTTTGAGACCCTTGGGTGGGGGGTCTATACACCAGTCAACTTCGGAGCCGTCACCCAAGGAACTGGTCAGCCCTGGATGCACACTCACTTACGCGCACCACCCTCACAGAATGAGGGAACAATACAAAATATATTTCAGTCCTATCACTCAGTAGTCAATCAATTCAGTCTGGGGGGTGACTACCTCAACCACCAAAGACACACAGTAGGGAATATGAAATGGATGCCCGGTTAGAGCACGCAAATAGAAAATAAAGCTCTCACAGGTCACTCCGGGGCGCGAAACCCCAGTCACTGCCGACTTTGCCTTGGTACCTTTGAGTCCCCACTACACCAGTGCTCGCTACACCAGTGAGGCCTTGGAAGCGTCCCTAAACGTACTTAGACCGCGCACAGGCAGTCTCCCGGAGGGCTCTTGAAGACGTCAAAGTCGGGGTGCTACTTCTGCCGCGAGCACAGAGTCGTCCGCGTGATCTTCGGCAAATTGGTTTCTGTTTAGATCTTACGTTTGGCTAGTTATCTTCTATCACTTCGCTGACTTTAATGTAGGTTTCACTATGCTTCGCTTGTCTTGATTATGCTTGTGCTTCTTGGCAGTTCTTCAGTATGCTTGTCTCAGATGGATCTGGATCTGTACCCATGTGATCCAGATCCAAGATGGGTTCAATTCGACATCCCAGCGTAATCGTGGAGTGGTGGACACGACTCGACGGGCAAGCAGCTGACACGCAATGAAGGTAAAGAGGGGCCATAGAGTCGGTAAGTATGGATGGGATGATAGGATCCACATGGCGATAGGATTTTGGGATAGGAACGAACTTAAGCATAAATCAGACCAAAATTTGCCTTGTACAACGCAAGCGCTTCCTCCCTCGCCTGGAAACGGGAACGACATTGGCCCTGCACGGCGTAGAGAGGTTAGCGGTAGCAGATCTAGTGTTGGTTGTAAGACTGGAGTAATATATTGGCCAGATCCAAGACCTTCCTAGTAAACTACCTGCAAGTGCAGATCCAAGATCCATCGGAGTTACGGTGCGTCCCTCTCGTCTCAACTGTCAACGACACCGTCATTGGAGGCGGCAAACACGACCAAGGAAGACCTGCGAAGGCAACGTAAAGGACAACAACCTCGAAAGGCAACAACCCGGTCGGATCCAGATCCAGGCCGCCAGATCCAAGTACAAGACCACTGGATTTGGAATATTACCACGAGCAGAGTGGAGATTTCCGCGCTGCTCCACCCACATCCCCGCGTCTCGCCCAGACTGTTCTCTCTTCAAGGCTCGGACGCTTCGGAAGACACCAGAGGAGCAAGATCCAGGTAGGGCTTACCGACGGGTACACAAGGTGACCAAGTTCAGCACACAGATCACGGATCATCGGGGGACCCCCTCCGTAAGTCGGTGTTCGGGCGCAGTTGGGAAGTTGGATTGGCAATCTCGCAGATTTTGCTGATCCCGCTACACCACAATGGTTGCGCGTGCCCGGATCTTCTGGTGACTCGGGATTTCACCGTGAGTCCCAAGAAGAAGTTCGAGTGAAGAAGGAACAAGGGGATCAAGCGTCATCGGAGTCGGGATCGACGACGACGCTGCTGAATGAACCAAGATCCACGGATCGACAGAGTGCAAGGAGGACCTCTGTCGGCGGAACCGAGGTGGATCCAGACATGGATCCAGAAGAGAAACCTCAACCTCCTCCACAGGTCCCTTCGGGGACCCCGGTGGATCGCGACGCGAGTCAAGTTCCACCAACAAAACAAACCAAGGCTAGCAAGGATCGGTATGCATTTGCTGATTCACCAGTTAAACCGGATGCCTACTTCTTGACAAGACCAAGTCGATGACACGAGCGAAGCTGAAGGCCCCGGATCTGGATGACGAAGATTCAAAAGCGTCATCCCACGAAGAATCCGAGGAGGCAGGCTGGATACGTTACCACGAGAAGCAGCTACGTGACTTCCTGGCTTGGGATCCCATGATGCGGCTGCTTGGCGTGAAGCCGATCGGAGAAGGGCCTGTGGCATTCCCTGCACCCGCCAAGCGTGAAGGGATCCTGGCCGAGATGGAGCGACTCATGCAGCGGCTGAAGGAGGCCGGCCTTGTAGCTGGCGCCTTCGACGCGAGAGCGATCTACGACGCCGATCCAATCCAGATCCACGCGACGACGGACATGCTGTTCAACAGGCTGAAGGCGCTGGTAGGTGAGATCCGGATCCAGAAGTCCCGGATCCAAGTTCACCTCAAGCTGGATCCACAGGATGCCGAACGTCGTCACCATACGTGTCCGCCGCGGAGCTTGGGTCGGATACATCTTCGGAGCCGCGGCGTATGTCGCTTGGACCCTCGGGAGCCTCGATGCTACGCGCCCGAGCCCAGATCCAGCGTGAAGCAAGCACTCAGCCCCGATCCCAGCCCCGACCCAAGAAGCCGTCGACTCCTTCGGTGGATCCAACAGCTACGGCATCAGGATCGAACATGTCGACTGGCAGGCTTGAGTCATACTTTCAGGCAGCCATGGGCAGGTTCTTGAAGGAGCAAGGCGTGTTGACCCCGACACAGGCGCCGGAGGCGACGCAGAACGCCGGATCCCAGGACGTGGAAATGGAGTCCACTGGTTTGTCCGATCCAGATCAACACTGGAAGTACGATCCAGATGACATCGACTTCCCGGTCCCAGCTCGCGCTACAGTGGCCACCACCGCGACCGGATCCACAGGTTCGGCCCTGATCCAACGAGTCCGGATCTCAGCGGTCTCGGATCTGAAGGAGTTCTCAGGGAAGGACCAGGATGAGGATCGGGCGAGAGCATGGATCAGTAAGGTGAAGTCTGCGTTCCTCCGTGACCAAGCCCCTGACGAGGAGAAGTGCTTGACCTTCGCGGACCTTCTGTCCGGATCCGCGAGGAACTGGTATCGCCAACTACCTCGATCCACACGCAACAAGTGGTCGGATCTGCTCCGCAGTTTCCAAACCCAGTACTGTGGATTGGTGATCTCCGTTGCTCGCCAGTATTACCACGCGCGCAAGCGATCCGATGAGTCTCCGCTGGATTATCTCTACCGACTTAATGTCGCTGGACTCCGCGCCCGACTCAAGATCAAGGATGGTGGATCCAAGTAGAAACGCGAGCACGTGAATCAGGTCATCGAAACTCTGGGTGATCAGGATCTAGCGGATCGACTGACATTGCTCCGACTGCCGGATGCTGACGAGCTGGAAGAGGTTCTCCGCGCACTGGATCGGGCGAAGAATCGACAGAAGAAGTCTGCGAATGGAGCCAGCAAGTTCCGCCAGAAGGCCCCCGCGACACCCGCACCGGCCGCTCCGGCCAAACATGTGCGTGCGATCCAGGTCCAACCTGACACGGGATCCGAGCCTGGATCCAGCGATGAATCTGACTCCGAGTGCGACGATTACCGCAGGATCTATCTGGCGGCAGCCCAAGACCACGCGAAGCCTGCAGAGGAAGAGCAGAAGACTCTGGATCGAAACCTTCAAGACCGTCCGAAGCAGGATCCACCGTCTCGCGACTCCCGATCCAGGACGCATGTGGGGGGACCCGAACGTAGTCGATGCACGCACTGTGGATCCAAGCGGCACTCGCATCTTGCCTGCTGGAAACGCTTGACGTGTGAGAAGTGCGGCAAGAAGGGTCATCCAGGTGATCACTGCCTTTTCGTGTGCTGTGGATGTGGTGAACTTCATGACGTGGGCCGATGCCCGAAGGAAGAGTTCTACAACCAGATCCGCCAGTGGTTCAATCCGGCCAAGCATGCGGGGATGCTGCCAGAGATGGCGGAGAAGATGTTAAACTAGGACGCTCGCCGGGTTGGAATCCGGTACGAGCCAAACGTTCTAGGTATTGCATCTATGCATTTGTGAACAAGACATCGACAGATCCAGTTAGCAAACGACAGGATCTACGCGGTAATACATGTGATCTTCATGGGAAACGTACTGCTGTGGTCTCAAGTCTCTGACAAGCTGATGACTACTCAAGATCCGACACGACAGTGGAAATGGATTATGATCCGGAGGCACGTCAGGGATACTGGAAGCAGCAGGATCCAGACCAGTGGTTTAAGCCTACCGAAGGTGAAGACACGGCTGGATCCAGATCCAGGCGTGTTGCTGCGAACCGGCGGACCACGGATCCAGAATCTTCGTATCTCCTACCCGGAGAATCCCGAGGATACTGGAAACAACATTCGCCAGGGAATTGGTTCCGTCAAGCCAAGATCCACGGTAAGATCAACAATGAGAAAGCGATCTTAGTCCTAGATACAGGTGCCGAGGTGTCCATCGTGGATACCGCCTTTGCTCGTAAGGTTGGGTGCTACATCGGCAGGAGTCAGAGCCAAGAGTGTGTTGGGATCGGAGACAACGTGTATACAACGGAAGGAAGAACACGGATCATGATTACCTTGGGCGGATACCTAATGTATTTCTTCGACATTTATCTGGACAAGAGGCCATCCTCGGTATGGATTACATGATGCCGGCCGGGATCCGGCTGGATCTGGCCGACGGGACTCTCTGCCTGCCCGATGAAGTCCGGATCCAGCTCAGCGGACGCCGTCCACTCTACAGTGACAAGGCGCAGTCCGTGAAGCTGGATCGATACTTGCAACTTGGGATCGGAGAGTCCGCGGAGCTGCCCATGCGTCTGCGAGGATCGGAACACGACAAGCTGTGGGTTACGCGAGGGGATCGATGGGTGCCTACGGTAATCAAGGGCCCAGGCAAGGTACGGTACCTTCAGATCACGAACATCGGAGAGAAGGAGCTGGTGTTGCGCCAGAGCCTCCAAGTCGGGATGTGGCTGGCCGGAGATCGAGTCCCGCGGATCCAAGGTTACGTGTCCATCGGATCCCGCCGCTACATGGAGTGGCAGAACCTCGCGCTGCAGGCCACGACGGACGCTGGATCCACGGAGGCGGAACCCCCGGAGGCCCCACCAGGGCCTATGGTGGAGCGCCCCGAATACCCGACGCCGCGCGCAATACTGCAGAGACGGCATCCAGCACAAGTCCGACAGGTGGAGGCCAGATCCAAGGGAGCTGAGGACGGACAGGACGGATCGTCGTCAGATCCACCCGACCAGACGACTGAAGGACACATCGCCGGGACGACAGGAATACCGCTGCTCCAAGCTTCGACTACGGCTCATGGTTTAGATTCACGGCCGGAGGAGCTGCTTTAGTATGTACCAAGCTTCGATCCAGCAGCTGAAGGTCCGCCGAAGTCCGATCCAAGCGGTGGAGACTCCGTGGGAAGAGGCGCGCCGACACCCACGCGACGGGGTTAACTGAGTGCAGGACGGACACCGTGTTGGGCGATGAAGCGTCGCGACGGGTGGCGATCCTAGGCCCATCCCCCCAGGTCCGATCCCAGGATCTTGGGTGTGGACAGGGCGAACGGACTGTTGAACATCCACCGGAGTCAGATCCGGTGTCAGCAGCAGACGGCGAAGCGACACAGCTGAAGGTGCCCCGGGTAGCGTCTACCCGGGTGCAAGAAGCCCAAGCAGCTGCGCCTAATCGTACACCCGCTCCCGATCCAGACGAAGCTCCTGCTGAATGCGCGCCCGGCCTGGATCCAAGCGCCGATCCCAATGTCGAATACTCGCTGGGACCAGACGATGGATCGACAGACCAAGATCCAATGGACGATACGCAAGGTTGCGAGGGGCGCTGGGTCCAGATGATGTGGTCCAGGCGGTCCAGGCCGTTGTCACATTGGGTGGTAATCACGGAGAGACAGGGGGCGGATCGGCAGATTCGACAGATGGTGCTACGGGACAGGTCATGGATTCAGGGGGATCGCTAAGGAGAGCCCTCATCGGGAGGGCCCTCGTTACAACCAGGGCATTTGGGTAAACAGATGACAGTAGGTAACGCTTTGAAATGGGCAACTAGAAAACCCAAAACCAGTGACCCGCATTAGCTCGAGAGGGTCACAGGTGACGGCACGCTAGAGCTGAAGACGCTGCAGACACTGCTTCATTGAGCCCAAAGCAGCAACTCAAGCAACCACAGGGGAACATTTGCCATGGCACTCATGGCAGCCACAGAGGAGACCTCGGAGGAGCCTTCGGGGGCCTTCGGAGGGGACCTCGGAGGACACCGTGGAGTAGACAGCGGAGGCGGCCACGGAGAAGACTACGGAGAAGACCATGTAGTAAACAGCGGAGAAGACAGCGAAGGCGGCCATGGAGGAGACCCCGGAGGAGACCACGGAGAAGACCACGGAGAAGACCACGGAGTAGACAGCGGAGGAGATGGCGGAGCAGACCTCGCAGAAGACCGTAGAGGACACAGCGGAAACGAGGGGCGTCTGGAGGATCATGCCGAGAGCCGTGGAGTAGAGCCCTGCCGTGGCAACGGCCCTCTCGACTACGCACAGGAGTTACTACTGAGGAATGGGCCCTTGAAATAGCGTTTGTGATCCTCGTAGGCAAGACTTATCTGCTCATATCCGTTCTGAGCACCCCAACGCACACATATTCAGTTTTATTCTACCTTTCTATCATTGGTATAAGGTTCCATTGCGTGTTGAGATCGTAGGAATTCGCATAAGATTGCGAGGTAGTATCTTTGGCGAGTTAGGAAGTACCCGGTCACATGACTCGCTATTTCATATAGTGCTTCATTAAAAAAAGCAACCTCGCCACACGCACAACATGAAGCTCTATGAAGACGGGTTCCAGGTTATCAAGAAGGCGATTACGGAAGCACAGGCCGCAGCGATTCGACTAAAGGTCAATGACATCGAGCAGTGGGCGACTGTTTTCAGCGTGGGGCCGAACAAGACGAGCTCAGGTTGCAGGCGTACGTCCCGCAGTGGGAAGAATCCGATGATCCGTTGGTGCCAATCGAGACCGCAGTGAATGGCTGTGCCTCCGGATACAACGAACACTGGGTCATTCGTCCTGGCTCGTGGGTGTTTCTGAAGTCTTTCCCGGGTGGCCCTCAGCAGCAAGTCCATAGGGATTTTCTAAACAGCGAAACCGTTGATGCTGACGATGAAGAGCTGCCCGCGTTTGTTCTAATCGCTTTGCAGAATGGAACCAGACTCGCGACTTACGGATGGAATAACCGCCGACCACGAAAGGAGACTGAGAAGATTGTATCGCTAAACAAAGGAGACTTGGTCATTTGCAGAGGTGATCTCGCTCACCGCGGTGTTTCCTACGACTGCGTCAACATCCGACTTCACTGCTATTTGGATGTTGATCTCCCTGGGGTTTCCTACCGATACAACATGACTCAGCTCTGCCGATTCCAGATGTACGCATGTCGTACATGTTCAGTTGCAACTTTCGACATGAAGTCAGCTCGGCGTGAGCATGAGAACGGTTGCACATAGTTTTACTGCGGTTTATGCAAGAGGACGTTTGAGCACAAAGATACTTTGAAGTTGCATCGACGCGTCCATCATTCCTACGTGAGGCTTTGAGGTGTAGGTGCTGCATATACTTAGCATTTATACTTAGTATTTATCAGTCATGTATAATATTTCTTTCATGGATTATATTATATACATGTACTGCTCTTCAAAAACAATGTATAAACTTGAAATGATGACCTAGAATCGCAGTTTAAGGTCATTATTGAGGGTTGCTGGTCTTGGATACTGTGTACCAGTTGTACCCATTAACCGGTTAACCCGAACCGGTCCAATCCGAACCCACGTTGATTATGGTGATTTCGGTAAGTTGTTTACGCCACCGATGATTAGACGAGTAGGATGATTGGATGAACACCGGTGAGTGATGGTTGATTAGATGCACTAGGTGATAGGACGCAGGGTCGCGTGTCTATAACAGTAGGGTGTAAGCTCCAACAATTCAATCACTTTCGAATCTTCATTCTACCCCTCAAGTGCCTTCGCTCCGGTCCCGCCGTCTGCGACGTCCCTCCCTCCGCTTCGTCCGAGCTTCGTGTCCAAGATCCATACCTTCCATCAGGTTATGAGCCCAAGCACCATGTCCTCTGCCCATGACGCCTCGACCAAGGTCTCCATTGACAAGTTCAACGGGGACAACTACGCGACGTGGAACCGCTACATGCGTGGCGTGTTCCTGACCAAGTCGACGTGGCATGTCGTGAACCGCGAGACGACGCCGAGCTTCACGGACTCGCGGGCCAAGGACGACTACGTCAAGTCGAGCAACATCGCGTTCGGACTGATGTTGCTCCACATGGACGCGGACTACCACCATGTGGTCGACGACTGCGAGGAAGCGTGGGTTGCGTGGACGCGCCTGAAGACGCTGTACGGTGGTTCGCAGAAGGCTGGACGCATCTACCTGAAGCGCCAACTCTTCAGGATGGAGATGTCGGAAGGCGGCAACGTCTTGCATCATTGCAACGAGGTCCTCAACATCAGCGCCAAGCTCAGCAGCATCGGCGCCAAGATGGAGGATGAGGACGTGGCGATCTGCCTGTTGCGCAGCCTCCCCAAGAGCTACGAGAACGTCGTGCTGAACTTGGAGATGAGCAGCGCTGAACTACGATCGCAAGACGTCGTGAAGGTGCTGACGAATGAGCACATCAAGAGACAAGGCGAGAAGACGGCGACGGTGAAGACGGAGAATGCGGCCAAGGCGTTCAACACCGACCGAGAGTCTCGCCAGTGTACGTACTGCGGGAAATTGGGGCACACGATTGACAAGTGCTGGACCAAGCAGAAGGACGAGAATCGGGGCCCAAGACGCGGCGGCAATGGCAATGGCCGTGGACGCGGGGCCAACAATGCCCAGTGGAGGAACGACGACGCCAGCACAACTACGACTACGGCTATGATCGAGTGGCGTTCGCGGTCTCACTGGAGTGTGGCATTTCGACGGGCAAGAATGTGTCCGGGTTGTGGGCGGTCGACAGCGGCGCAACGCACCACATCTGCAACGACAAGGCCAAGTTCGCTCATTTGATTGAGCGGAATGAAGGCGAACTTTCGGTGGCCGACGGCAACAAGGCGGCCATCATGGGTGTGGGGACCATCGTGGAACGAGTGGTTCTGCCCAACGGCGACGAGCGCGACATCGAGATCAAGAACGCGCTGTACGTCCCAAGCATGAGCAAGAATCTGCTTTCGGTGCCACAGATCAACAAGAGTGGTCTGTTCCAAGTCGTGTTCGACAGCACCAAGATGCAGATTGCGCACAAGGGCTCCAAGCAAGTGGTGGCGACGGCAAACCTCGTGGATGGACTCTACTGGCTCCAGACGCCTCAGCGATCGGCGAATGCGGCGACCAGTGGGAAGACGGTCGACTTACACGCGCGTATGGGTCACGCTCCGGTGGAGGTGCTTCGCAAGATGGTCGACAACAACATGATCAAGGACGCGAAGGCACCTTCCAAGTCGAGTGGACCAAGCGTGTGTCGCGGCTGCCAACAAGGGAAAATGGTCCAGAAGCCGTTCCCAAGCAACTGTGACAAGCGTCACTACGACACGTTCGAGCTGCTCCACTTCGACGTGTGCGGCCCCATGGAAGAAGAGTCACTGGGTGGCAGCAAGTATCTGCTGCTGATCGTGGACGAAGCCAGTGGATGCATGAAGGGGTTCTGCCTGCGTGCCAAGTCGGAGAGCGAGGACTGCATCAAGATGTACGTCACGAAGGTGCAGACGCAGTTCGGCAAGAAGGTCAAGTTTGTGCGGCACGACGGAGCCCGTGAGTTCGCGACCAACTCGCTCAAGGCCTTCTACGAAGTCGAAGGCATCGAGCAGCAAACCACGGTTCCGTACGCGCACCAGACCAACGGCACGGCAGAACGCGCCATCCGGACCATCGTCACGATTGGCCGCAGCATGCTGCATCACGCCAAGCTGGACAAGAGCTTCTGGGCTGAGGCGGCCATGACAGCCATCTACGTGAAGAATCGTCTGCCATCACCCAAGATCGAACACAAGACTCCGTTCGAGATCGTTTACAAGTCCAAGCCGAGTGTGAAGCACATGCGTGTGTTCGGATGCCAGACGTACATCCTGACGCCGAAGGAAAGACGGCGCAAGTGGGACCCCAAGGCTCGCGCCGGGCTGTTCCTCGGCTACGAAGAAGTGTCCAAGGCGTATCGAGTTTATGACATCGAGGCGGGGCAGGTGGTTATCAGTCGCGATGTCAACTTCGATGAGTCGACCTTTGGACTTTCGACGCATACTTCGGATGAAGACGTCGATGATGCTGTGTTGCGCTGGACCTGGACGACAACGATGGACCGCGCCAAACGAGCTTCAAGCAGGCGGGGAAGCGCAAGTACCGACCGAGTGGCGACGACAACACTGCCAGAAGATCGCGCCCCGTTCGCCACCGAGCTGGCTTAGAAGAAGCAAGTGCGCCGGACGTATCCTCCTCGCGCCGAGCCGACCCCGACGAAGAAGAAAAGTCTGGGGACCAAGATGAAGACGACGACTCGACGCCTCCAGTGTTTTGGCGTGCCAGTGCCAACGCTGTGGAAGCAGCAGCCGATCTATCGGAGCCGACGACGTTCCAAGAGGCTGTGAACGGTCCTGATCAAGTGCACTGGCGCAAAGCGATCCGCGCGGAGCTCAAGTCGATGCGACTGCGTGGTGTGTTTCGAGCTGCCAAGTTGCCTAACGGACAACGCGCCATCGATACCAAGTGGGTGTTCAAGATCAAGCGCAAAGCGGACGGCTCGATCGAGAAGTACAAGGCGCGCCTCGTGGCCAAGGGCTTCAAGCAGAAGTACAGCATTGACTACACCGAGAAGTTCTCGCCCGTGGTCAAGTATGTGACACTGCGCATGGTGATCGCGATTGCTAAGTATTTTGGCTGGCCCCTCGACCAACTCGACGTGGTGACAGCATTCCTGTACGGGATAATGAAGGAGGTGGTCTTCTGCGTGGTTCCGGAAGGCGTCGAACTGGATGGTGACTTCGACTGCCTGGAACTGGTGAAGGCCATCTACGGTCTCAAGCAAGCTTCGCGAGTGTGGAACGAGACCTTCGGCGAGTTCGTGTGCTCCATCGGCTTCCAAGTGTCGGCCTTCGATCCGTGCCTCTACATCAAGGTGGTGGACGGTCACTGCGTGCTTGTACTGGTGTACGTGGATGACGTACTAGTTCGCCCGAGCTGATCGCACGCACGAAGACCGACCTGAAGACGCGCTTCGAGATGACCGACAGCGGCAAGTGCGCGTTTGTTCTTGGGATCGAGTTGGTGGACGGCCCGGACGGCAGCGTGACCATGTGCCAGCGGCGATACGTGGACGACATCCTGAAGCGCTTCGCCATGGACGAGTGCAAGGCCGTGGTGAGTCCGGTGGACATGAGCACTCGACTGGTTCCAAGCGACGCGGCGACCAAGGTGAACGCTCCGTTTCGCGAAGCTGTTGGTGCTCTGATGCACCTGATGACCGCCACGCGCCCAGACATCGCGTACGCCGTTGGCTATGTATCGCGCTTCATGGAGAACCCCCAAGAGGAACACTGGGTTGCGGTCAAGCGTATCTTTCGCTACCTGCAAGGCACCAAGACGCATGGGATCTGCTTCAAGCCGGGCGACAAGATCGACTTTCGTGGCTACTCGGACGCGGACTGGGCCGGCGACCTCGCCGACCGCAAGTCCACTTCAGGCTACACGTTCATGCTCATGAGTGCGCCTGTGAGCTGGGGAAGCAAGAAGCAATGAAGCGGAGTACATCGCGCTCAATCTGGCTATCCAAGAAGGCAAGTGGATTCATCGCCTGCTATGCGAGATTCTGGCGGCCGCTAATGAGACTAGACCCGAACTCATGATCCGCGAAGACAACCAGTCGTGCATCAAGATGACGAAGAACCCAGTGAACCACGGTCGCGCCAAGCACATCGACATCAAGTACCACCACATCCGCGATGAAGTCAAGCGCGGCGAAGTCAAGCTCCAGTACTGCGAGACTTCTGTGATGCTAGCGGACATCATGACGAAGGCGCTTGCGGGACCACGCCACACGGATCTGACGGTGGCTCTCGGCATTCGTGGGACTTCGCATTGAGGGGGCGTATTGAGGGTTGCTGGTCTTGGGTATTGTGTACCAGTTGTACCCATTAACCGGTTAACCCGAACCGGTCCAATCCGAACCCACGTTGATTATGGTGATTACGGTAAGTTGTTTACGCCACCGATGATTAGACGAGTAGGATGATTGGATGAACACCGGTGAGTGATGGTTGATTAGATGCACTAGGTGATAGGACGCAGGGTCGCGTGTCTATAACAGTAGGGTGTAAGCTCCAACAATTCAATCACTTTCGAATCTTCATTCTACCCCTCAAGTGCCTTCGCTCCGGTCCCGCCGTCTGCGACGTCCCTCCCTCCGCTTCGTCCGAGCTTCGTGTCCAAGATCCATACCTTCCATCAGTCATCG